TGAAATCGGCGCCTCTCCTCTTCACCAACGCTCTCCTCCTCTGGTCCCTTCACACACTTGAACCCAGAGGGAAAGGGTGTAGCCACATGGCCTTCACTCTGCCCAAAGTTGGCAGCCAATGCCTCCAGGTACTTTCGTTGATGCACCCGCATGCACCGCTTCTCCACATCTCGTTCGATGTGGAGCCCAAGGTAGAAGCTCACGTCACCAAGGGCCTTGCACTTGAACTTGTCTTGAAGCTTCAGCATCACCTCCTTCACAAGGTCAGAAGAGGGTGAGAAAATGAGGATGTCATCCACATAAACCACCATGAAACTCCTCTGCTCCCCCTCGCCAAGCATGAACAAGGAGTGATCGGCCGTTGAGGGAGTGAAGCCGATCCCCTCCAACACTTCGCGCAGCTTCATGTACCATTGCCTAGGGGCCTGCTTCAGCCCATAGAGGGCCTTCTTCAGCTTCCACACTCTGCCACTACCATCATCAAACCCCTCTGGCTGCGCCATAAAAATCTCCTCCTCAAGGATGCCGTTAAGGAATGCCGTTACGATGTCCATTTGCTTTACTACCCATCCTTTGATGGCGGCTCCCGCGAATAGGGTTCGCAGCGTCGTCGGCTTCACCACAGGGGCAAACAGCTCCTTGAAGTCCACCTTCTCCTTCTGCTGGTACCCCTTGGCTACAAGCCTAGACTTGTAGCGCTCGATCTTGCCGTCGGCATCCGACTTGATTTTGAAGAGCCACTTGGACGTTATCGCCGTACGCCCCTCCGGTAGCTCCACCAATTCAAACGTGTCATTCTCCTCGATGCTCTTCAGCTCACTCTCCATGGCCTTCTTCCACTCCTCAGCATCACTACTCTCCAAAGCCTCCTTGAGAGTTGCTGGTTCTCCCGGCATCTCCACCGGAGAGAAGAACGCGAAGGCACACTCCTCGTAGTCACTCTCCTCGTCGTCTCCGACCATCATTGCCGCTCCGGCCAGGGCTATCTTGCCCTGCTTTCCCGGCGCATCATAGTTCAGCCTATTAGGGGGTTGAAATCTCCTCTTCCCCCTTCCTTCCTCCTCAGCTGCAGGGACTTGAAGGCCTTGGCGTTGCTGCGGTGTGGCTCGAATCCGTGGAGCACTCGTAGTACGGGAAGGAAGTGACGGTGCACGCTCGCTCACTTGCTGCACCTCCTCCTCTTCTTCCTCTGCATCATTGGCCTCCTCTTCCCCATTCACAAGGGAGGATTGCCTTGTGGTTGTGCTGCCGCTGCTCAGTTCCAAAGGCAGCTCCACATGCTCCAAACCGGAACTCTTCACCTCCCCAAACCGCACGCCTATCTTCGCCTCATTCTCCGCCTTCCAATCCTTGTACATGAAGTTCTCCATGAACTTGCAGTCCCTGCTCACCAAGAACTTCTTGGTGAATGGGTCCCAAAGAAGCCATCCCTTGCTGTTTTGAGCCATGCCCAAGTGCACGGCCCACACCGCCTTGGCACCAAGCTTGTTGTGCCGAAGATGCTTAGGCACGAGCGCCATGCACATGCACCCGAACACCCGAAGCATATCCACCTTTGGCTTCCTTCCTAGCCACTCCACATAGGGCACCCATTTGTCTGCTCCCACATGAGTCAAGGCTCTGTTCTTGGCCACACACGCGCTCCGCACCGCATCAGGCCAGAAATAGTCGGGTAGCCCGGCTTCAATGAGCAACCCGCGTGCCGCCTCCGTGATTGTGCGGTTCGCTCGCTCGGCGATGCCGTTCATTGCAGGGGAGTATGGCATGGTGAGGGAGTGCCGAATACCATTCTTCTTCAGCCACAACCCAAACTCCTTGCTCAGGAACTCTCCCCCTCGATCGGTGCGGATTGACTTGACTAGACGGTCTTGTTGCCGCTCCACCATCGGGAACCAATCCGTCTTCAACGTTTCAGCCACGTCGCTCTTCTTGGCCAGCACGTACACCCAAGTCATGCGGGTGTAGACGTCGACAATGGTGAGAAAATACACAGCTCCAGCAGCTCCAAGCTTCAGGGGGCCCACCACGTCCATCACCACCTCATCAAGCGGTGCCTTTGCCGTTGCCTCCGAACTAGGGAACGGAAACCGGGTGAACTTGGCTTGAATGCACGTCGGGCAGCCAAGCACCTCATCGGGCTCCCCCTTCACACGTATGCCAGCAACCATCTCATTCTTCACTAGCTGCTGCAAGATGGGCAGGGCCACATGCCCCATGCGCCGATGCAAGGTGAGCCAATCACACTCCCCCGTAGCCGAAGTTGGATTGGAGAATGCCGCGCTCGCAATAGCGCCCCACATACTCTCTCCGTAGTCCTCCTCCGCTGCTGCCTCTGGGTTCTCCTCACCCTTTTGCTGCTCCTTGGTTGCTGCACCACTCTCCTTAGGTTCACTGAACTTGCTGGTCCCTCCAGGTTTGCTCTTCTTGAGCTCATTCTCCTTAGCGCGACCGTTCGCGCCATCGTCGCTACCGACCGCTCCATCCTTGGTGCTGATGCTTGCTGCCACTTGCCTCTCCTTAGGCATAGGGACCACTGGGATCTGCCACATCTCGTTGTAGACATCCCTGTCCTCATGAAGGTCCCAAAGAATTAGATCGCCAAGCCTTGCGGTGTAGGTCTTGGCTCCCTTCGAGTTCGTGTCCATGCCGGCCTTTGCCAACCGCCGCACGGAAATCAGGTTTGCAGCAAGGCTGGGCACCCAAAGCACGTTCTTGAGGCCCACCATCTTCCCATCAGCACCCTTGAACATGGCCTTGCCCATGCCTTTCACCTCTGCTCGCTGCCCCAAAGCCGATGTGACATGCTTCACCGGTGACGGCTCGAGTTCGGTGAGCAAGTCCGGGCGTGGTGTCATGCTATAGTTAGCGCCACTATCAATCACCCAATAGTCCAGGGGGTGTAGGGTCACCTTCCCCACAGCTGCTGGCTCCTCAAAGCCTTCATCCTTCTCTGGACCAGCCGGTACTTGCGTCGACACGAAGTAGAATAGACCCGGGTATCGATCGTCGCTCGGGTCCTTGTCGTTGTCTCCGCTCTTCATGTTTGCAGCTCCGCCACCGCGACCGCCACGGCCTCCACGGCCTCGTCCTCTCCCTCCTCCTGCTCCTCTACCCTCTTGGCCTTGAGCAGGGGTCCAACCATCAGGGAGTTTGTAGCAGTCGCGCCACATGTGTCCGCTCTTGTGGCAATAGTGACACTCGCCGTCGAATCGGCCGCGACCGCGTCCGTAGCTCTTGTCGTCGCTGCCGTAACCGCCAAACCTGCGGCCTCCGCCGAAGTTGCTGCCACCAAACCTTCCTCCCCCTCGTCCTCTGCCTCTTCCTCGACCATATCCACGGCCGATGCTCGCTGCCCCAGCGCCATCCGCACTCGCCAACTCACGGCGGCGGAAATCCTCTTGAAGGATAGCTCGCTTCACGTCTTCAAGCGAGAGGCGGGGCAAGTCACGATTAAGGTTGATGATGAGCGAGGACCATGACTCTGGGAGTAAGGCCAGCAACTTGGTCTTCTTTTGGAGCTCACTGTAGTTCAAATCAGCTCCCTCAAGCCGCGTCAGCAAGTCGAAGAATTTCTGCACCCCTTCTTCAACCGCTTCGTTTTCTTCAATTCGTAGTGCCGCCATTTGCCGTTCCAACACCACCGCTACCGCCGCTGTTGCAGGAGCATGTACACCCTTGAGAGCAGCCCATGCCTTTGGTCCTTTCTCTGGTTCACGCTGGAATGGCTTGATGTGACGGATCTGACTGCTCCCCAACGCTTGCCCAAGTAAGAGATAGCCTTGTGCGCTCTTCCGCACCCACGGGCTCTTCTCCGGGTCGTTCTCGGGGCGCTTCTCCGTTCCTTCCATCACCTCCAGCAGGTCATAGTGGTCAAAGATGTTCTCCATCTTGAAGGACCATTCAGCAAAGTTGTCACCGTTGAACTTGTCAAGCCCAAACACCCTAGGCTCATCCCTAGGTGGGCCAAGACTTGGTTGCATGGGCGCCATGGCTGAATCACGGGGTTGGCCTTGAGCTTGAGCTTCTCCACTGCCACCAGCACCTCTGCCACCCCTTTCCTCAGGTCCAGACATTGTCGAAACTGCTCCAAGGGCTCTGATACCACTTGTTATAGTCACAATAGGCTTGAATGTGCCTAAAACGAAAGATAGAGAGCACAGACGGATTTCTGCACAGCGGCTTCAAACGTTGATAGCGTTCTGCTCACAGCTGCAAATGACTTGACTCAAATTGGATCTGGAGCGTCTTCACGTCGTCTACAATTATCAATTTAGATTGCACGATTTGATAAAGAATTGACGACACAGCGTCGGTTTGAACGAACGGTACTATGGCAGCCACTATAGTCTTAGAACACAAGATAGGAAGAGTTACGAGTTGGGAATGACTCCCAGCTCCTACAAACCCCAAGAGCCGAGGTACAGTGATGTGGAACAGTGCCACACTGTCCCCAACCACGAAGGGTCTCGAAACTACCCTTCACTAGGGCCTACACCAAGTGAAATGTTACACTACACAAAGTAATGTAACTATCTTCAATATCTTGAGGTGTACCCTTTTGGCGAGCTTCGAAATCACTTGAGGCTTGTCACCAAGGCTCGGGCTCTTCATCACAAACTCATCCTTGAGTTCTTGATGGGTCTGCTGCACACACCTGCGACACGCCGAACGTTCGACACAGGACAAAATAGAAACCGCGCACGACAAAATAGAAACCGCGCGCGAGACACAAACGACCGCGTAACACGCGTCTAGCGATAACTCGCTATTGACTCGACACACACACTCGACATCATGACTCAACATTCACACACAATTATAAGCATGAAATATATATTATTCCATGCCCTCATACCATTCCATACACACACACATTCACGCACACGGACAACAAGCCGAGTGCAAACCGTAGGGTTGCACCAACAGAAATGCCGCTGCGCGGGTCCGCCTGGGGGGAATGGGGGAAGGGTTGGGGGGAGGATTGGGGGAAACGTTCACTCATGGGGAATCTGCGGAAAGCCCTGGGGTACGGTGGCGGCGGAGGGTACGCGGAATTCGAGGGGGAGAGTTCGGGAATGGTGTTAAGTGGGGGAGAGGGGGTCGGAGGTCTGTATGGTGATTTCAGCTACGGGAATGGCGGCGGGAATGGCGGCGAGAATGACGCACGGCCAGAGCAGCCGCAGCGGGAGCACATGTGCTGGACGTCGTCGGGAGGTGAGGCGGAGTGATGCTCGCGCCCAAGCTCGCGCCCATGCCCCTCGCCCATGCCCCTCGCCCATGCCCCGCATCCATGCCTCGCCCATGCCCGCAAGCATTCCTGCGCCCGTGCCCGCGCGTATGCTCGCCCCCGCGCCCATGCTCGCACCCATTCTGGCGGAGTGATGCTCCCTCATTCGCCTTGCTCGGATCAGTTCCCCGTTACAGCTGCCTCCCTCCATTCGGGACGAGCTTGCGCATGTCACCGCGCGCGCGCTTCATGCCATTTCCCCGCTCCTCCCCCTCCCCCCGCTCCCCCGCTCCCCCTCCCCCTCCGCAGACTACTCCTCCCCCTCGCCCGCCGGAGTCACCATTCACGGGCGCGGCTGCAGCACCTGCATACGCGGGCAGCGCTGCTCGTTCCGCCTGTCCGTGCGCGCCCCCGCGCGGTGGGCGGAGGGGGTGCTGCATGCGGGGAAGCGCGGGTGGTGGAAGCGCGACGTGACTGTTACCATGCGCGGACCTGCCATGGGCGCGGGGAACGTGCGTTGCCTTGACCCCCCGCGCTGCAGGGAGATGAGAGTGACGTACCGCCTCTGGGATGGAGGGGAATACTTGTGAGTACAGAACGGTGCTGTGTGGTGGGGATTGGTTGGGGGAGGTTTTGGTGGGAATGGAGGAGTATTGAGCGTTACCATGAGGAGCCTGGACTACCAGCTGCGGTCCACATAGGCTCTGCTAACCTGCGCTTCTCACCGCTCTACTATCTGCACCTCAACAAGACAGCTCAGCACGACCTCGCCTCCTGGACCCTCACCTCTCCCCACCTCTCTCCATCTCTCACCCTCTCTCCATCTCTCACCCTCTCTCCATCTCTCACCCTCTCTCCATCTCTCACCCTCTCTCCATCTCTCACCCTCTCTCCATCTCTCACCCTCTCTCCATCTCTCCCCCTCTCTCCATCTCTCCCCCTCTCTCCATCTCTCACCCTCTCTCCATCTCTCACCCTCTCTCCATCTCTCAACCTCTCTCCGTCTCTCCCCCTCTCTCCATCTCTCCCCCTCTCTCCATTTCCCCTCGCAGGGCCACTATGCACATAGGCTGTGCAAACCTGCGCTTCTCGCCGCTCTATTATCTGCACCTCAACAAGACAGCTCAACACGACCTCGTCTCCTGGCCCCTCACCGTTTTGCCCCGCACTGCACCCAACTCCACCGCACACGCTCAGCAACCCCGCCTCTCCCTTCCTCAGCTCCAACCGCCAGCAGCACAGACAAACCCTCCCCCAGGCAGCCCGAGCCTATCCCGAGCCGATCCCGAACTAGACTCCGAGCTTCCCAGAAACCCCTGCATTGGAGCCTCGGTCCAGGGTCGGTGGAGGATGAGAAAAGGTCTGTACCGCTGGGAACCGTTCTTCTGCGCGGACAAGGAGTTGCCTGCTAGCAGCTGGATTGCTGCTTTGGAGCAGAGGGGCATTCGGGAGATTAGCATCGTGGGAGACTCGCACCAGCGGTATTTCACAGCGCACTTGTACTATCTGCTCATGAGACGGGCAGATTTGGGAGTGAAGAAATGGCGAGATAATCTGTTTTATTCGGCAAAGGACGGGGAGGGGAGGGAGCTGAAGATTAACTTTTACTGGATCGATGGGATCTACCGGAATGGGGAGTTTGGATGCAGTCATCGTGGCGCCACAACCAATCGGACGACTCAGTTCCCCAACATCTCATCCACTGCTGACGTCACCCTCTTTGAAGGAGGCTACTGGGGGGCGTCCTTTTGCCAGGAGCCTCTTAAAGCCCTCCGGGTGTACCTACGGGAGTTTGTGCGCTGGGGCATTTCTGCCGTTGCGCCCGGAAAAGGCCGGGTGGTATTCCGCACTATCCCCTCGTTTGCGGTGAGGTGGGACTCGTGTAATCGGTACAATGGCCCGAGAACGAATCGAGCGGGCATGGCTGTGAATGCGCTGTTGAAGAGAATCGTGCTTGGGGGGACCAGGAGAGAAAAGGGGGGTGCGGGAGAGGGGAGGAGGGGGGATAGAGTGGAGGGTGGAGGGGAGGGTATGGCTTGGAAAGACCTGGACGAGAGCTTGCAACGTCTGCCTGGTGAAGAGGTGGAAGGAGGATCTCATGTGGGGCGTAATGACGCGCTTCGAGATTCATCTGCTGAGGCCGCTCAAGGGAAATTCGGAGAATTAAGAAATACAGGAGACGCAGATTATTATTCTGACTCTGATTCTGATTCTGGGTCGTTTGCCACACCAGCACAAGCAGCATCAGCAGAAACAGCAGCACTGGCGGCTGAAAGTGCTGAAGGAGCAGCAGAAGACAAAGCAGCAGGCACAGCAGCAGACGCAACAGCAGACGCAGCAGCAGACACAGCAGCAGGTGAGGGGGGGACCGACACTGGAATACCAGCAGGAGCAGCCACGATTCTGGACACGTGGCAAATCGACGCGCCTCGGTACCTTGACACAGCTATTCCCGACGACCACCACTACTCGAACGTGGTGGCAACTGATGACGGGGATGTGGTGGTGGGGGAGGTGGGGGAAGCGCATGTGAGGGCCTTCATTCACTATCTTCTCTACACCCTCCCTCCACCTGCCAAGTGAGACCGACCAGCATCGCTCTTACCACTGCAAATACACCTAGTTTCTGCTGTACTATAAATCGTGTACAGACTGACCCATTTTTTTATTGTCCAAACCAAATGCAAACTCTTACCTGTACTTTTGACCCGGGGAAATGGTCCAGCCCAGTTTGATACGGTATGCTAGTGTGATGGCTCGATTTTGACCTATGGTGTGTACAGATCACTAGGTGTACCTATCCTAACATTGCGTCCTTAAGTAAATTTGACTGTAACTACTGTAATATCTCCTCGCAAATGCCCTTTACTGGGGTTAATAATTGCTGGTTGACAAAGGAGCTGAGCTACAATTGTATTATTCATACAGAGCATGCTTCCTGGCAATGTTCAAAAAGAGTTTACCCAGCTTTATGTCCTCACTCAATATAATTAAGCCAGCCTTACATCCTCGTTTTTAATTCTACACAGCTTCTCATCCTCACTCTTGAAGTTTACCCAACCGGCCTCACATCATCCTCATTCTTAAAGTTTATCCAGCCTTACATCCTCACTTTTGAAGTTTACTCGGGTGTCAGAAATGAGCAATCAATTATGCCTTACATTTTGTGCTCCCTTCCCATGCTCTCCGCGCAGTGAGATCTGCCTTAATGTGTCACCGTACACATGAAACACGCTGTGGGTGATGATGGCAGTTTATGTAGTGAACCATATTAGCTGAGAAGAATCCAACCATACATACGTAGTAGACTTGTATAAAAGTAGATGTTACAGTGTGCTCTATTGCAAGGGAAATAGCTCGGTGAGGTCCCTACGGAACTGGCTGTACCAGAAACCCTGATGCAGTGATGCTGCCTAGTTTCATAGCAGACATACTCAGCATCCTGACAGCTGCCAATTGCAGCTGCAATCCTAGAAGCAACTTGGATACCTCTCCTTCGCCTCCTTGTAACGTACAACCCACCCTTTCACCCCTCCTCCCCTCCCCTCTGCTGCCCGTTGAGGCGAGAAGCTGTAACCTACTGTCATTCCCTCAGCCGTTTGCAATGGGAAAGAAGCACCAGCATCAGCACCAGCATCCGCTTCAGCATCAGCATCCAATCGTAATCTCGGCTGCTTGCTCCTCGCTCTCTGTAGCGCCCTGCACTTTTGAGGCGCCCCTAGAGGCATCGACATCCAATCAATCACCATCACATATCTACCACCATCATAATCTCGGAAGCTTGCTCCTCGCTCACTGTAATCCCATTGGCTTCCAGCGCCTCGACCCTCTGCACCCACACGGGCTTGTGCGACGGGAAGAAGGTGATTTGCGAGTACGCGCTGAATATCTTGTGGAATTTACCCGTGGGGCGGGCAGGCCAGTTTTCTACGGTACTTGGAGAGTTCGTACTCGCTCTCGAACTGGTTCTTGTTGTACTTGCACTCGGTTACAAAGTAACGCCCGAGATAGTTGGAGAATGTTCCAGCCCACTGTGAGACAACCAGAGGAGAAGTGGGAGAAGAGAGGTTGGGAGAGGAGGGAAGAGGGAAAGGAAGGAGCGTGAGGAGTACGTTAGATGCGGGTCATATAGACATGTGCAGCATAGGCGGCAGACGTGGGAGGGCCTTGCCGTGAGAGATTCAGTGATTCCTCCGCCGTGTAAAGTCACAAAGGTACAAGGAAGGTTCTGGGTTTCACAGAAGTGATGTTGGGAATAAGGAAAATGGGACATGGACAGGGAAAATGGGAGAAGGTCAGAGAAAAGGACGAGGCAAAAGAGGACAGGGGGTTGGGAAATGGAGTGAGGTTGAGGAGCTGTTTCATCTTCTAGGGTGTAATCAGGCCTCTCACCTCGTTATGGGCGATCTCGTGTTTGGGGTTCCACTCCCAGGGAGCCTTCTCGGGATGCCACTGCGACCCGTAGAACGGGAAATGCCTTCCCTCCACCGTGGACACGAACTGCGTGCCGTTGCGATCCTCGTCAACGGACAGTATGCGAAAGACCTCGTGCGCTGGCGACGCGCGAAAGTCGTCGGGGTGTACCCCCAGCCCGTGGTTGTTGAACGCGAGGTCTCCGAGGGGCGACGCGACCTGCTTGAAGAGCTCGTAGCTCATGCCGCCGAAGAGTCGCGACAGCCAGCCGTACGCGGTGAACCCGAGGTTGATGGCGAAATTCTCCGCGTCGACTTCGCGAATCAAGGTTCCGTTCACGTCGTTGGCGAAAAGCTGCGAATTTGAAAATGAGTGGGGGACATGGGAGGGGTGAAATATCGATTACAGTTGAGAACCTCGTTCATTACGGTTTCTGGAGCACCCAAGACAATGTAGCTTTTGTGTGTCAAACGTCGCATTGACTCGTAACATCCCACGGACCTGGAACATGCGTTCGAAGCCGAGGCAGGTGCCCCAGAGCGGGTAGTAGTTGCCGTTGCTGTTCTCCTTCACCACGTGCTTCCACACGTACTCCGTCGTCGCCAGGTACTTGGAGCCCTCGGGATCCTCCTCCGTCGGATTGAAGTCCACCAGCCCTCCCGTCCAAAACACACCGTTGATTCTGAACAACGCACGCACGCACGGACACACCGGACATTGAGGCAAGTGTGAAGCGAGGAAAACGTGACGAAATTTTGATAAATTCTTCCGTCTTTGTTGACAGGTTAGATTGACACGTTATTGACTATGAATGGCGCACTAGAATGCCCATGCCAGCAAATGTGATTGCGATCGCTTTTATCCGTGAAAGTGGTTGATGAGTTCCAAGTCTTAGAGAGCGGTCTAGCAAGTACCCGGGAAGGATTAAATTTTCATCAGCGGAGATGACTCAAGCAACGTTCACTTGATCTCACCTATTGAGAATGAAGTCGAGCTCCTCCTTGGTCGAGTCGTAGAAGATCGGCACCACGCGCGCGCCGCCAGCCTCGATCCATCGCTGGTACGACGTGGCGAACGACGACACGCCGATCTTCCGCTGCGACGGAACGGTGATCGGGAGAGTGAGCACGCCGACGACTGGCCGGTCCGTGAACTGATGCGGTGGCCGAATGTAGTTGTCCTGCTGCCCGCGCCTGGCGAGAATCGCTTCTGACGAGAATGAGCTTTCCAGCGCGAGTGTTGGGAGGGAGAGAAACCCGATCACGGTGATGAAAAGTAGGAGCTTCATCATTACTCGTTTACGTAAGGATTTCACCAGTTGGAGGCTTCTAAACCCGTAGTGGCTGGGATCCAGCCACTCCAATGGTTTCCTTGAATGAATCTTACAGCTGAAAAGGATCAAGATGCAACTTTGCCAAGGTGCTTCATAAAGCACTTCACGAGAACGAGAGCCAGTAAAAGCGCCTCAAGAAACCATCAATAAGGCGAATCTGGGGCTGAAACTGAAATATGAATCCCAGTATGCCATTCTGCGGCTGAATTTGATATATGACGGGGAATGGCGATGCGGGAGGAGGGACCGCATGTGGGCGAAGGGATCATAGCCACAGATGCACCATGGAATTGTCGCCTGGGGATTCGACGGATGCGATTGATTATGAAGTCGCACGATTTCATTACGACTGACATTTGAAACCAATCGTTGCGTTCGTGGTCAGGCTAGCACTACGCAGGATTCTGTTGTCGCAGCAAGGGGCCGTCGCTGATGGGAGGGGGTTTCTGTTGCAGCTGGGCTTGGCAGATGAGTGACCATCAGCGTCACAGAAGGGGCGGATTTTCCACGTGGTAGTACACGTGCTGTAGAGCGAAAGGCCCAGCAACGACGTGGCACTGAAGCTTTGGAGAGAGAATGCTCCCCAACATTCGCGGCGCCGAAATCAGCACCAGGACATGTCGCACAAGCCTGTCGCCGCCAGCGTCCTGCCCCTTTGCTGATCAGTTTGACAGAAGTTGACGGAAATTCAGCAAACTCAGCGGCGCGCATGAAGAACTAGCGAAATTTAGGGAATTCGACCAATAAGAACAGAAATGGAAGTCAGCTTCTCCACAAATTATGGAGATCTGCTCCACCGCAGATTGTCAAAAGTGTCCATCAATACATCCCTTATGGGTGCTGTTCTGTTGGAGTTCTCATCGCCGCACCGTTGGTGGATTAGTAAATTTCGTATTAACTTCAGGTACCTTTTTGGTTGACTTGGCAACACATGAAGGTTAAGTTATAACCGAGGTAAACTTCTCGTTTGAACAACTCAGCCAAACTCGGGTCTGCCCATCGGGAACCCGGTCTGGCAAAATGTGAACGGAGGGTAACCTCTCCCCCCCTTCCTTCCTCCACCCACATAGGTTTCGAGCAGCAAGGACTCGAGAAAATATTTTCTTGAAATTTGATTTCGGTCGGTGGTTGGGCGTTCAAGCTGCCCTGAGCAATTTTTCTGCCTTTTTGTTCCAGCCCCGTTATCAGTGGTGCGGAGGTGATTTCACCTCAAGAGGTCAAACCAGCGGTGCGGACCAATTGCCTGGCGAGGAATTGGCGTGGAACAAACGGGCGGTACTAGTACAGTGTCACAAAAGTGTTGTTCTGCATGTTTTCTCGGTTTTCTTGATGCGCCCAGCTTCGGACAGTGCCCAACCTGAACCGACGCACCACTGGTGCGGATGTGTAAGGAAAATCTCTTTTTCCTTACTTCGCATCCCTGCTCAACGCGTACATCACTGTAGCACCACAGTCAGCACCGTTACCACTCGCAATCCTCGCATCGACAATCCGCCCGCCACTTTCGCACGTCGCACCCCGACCTCACGGCTCGGCAGGTAACCCGCGCTCCGGGCCTCCGCTTCGACACTTTCCCCAACCTCAGTTCCAGGCCCGTCGCGCGACAACCACAGTCCATTACCGTTACCACTGTAGTTTCGCTATATATTCTTCGCCCATGCCTTCGCTCATTGTACTCTTGCTTCGATAGTGCAATTCTCGTTCGATCACTCAATTGCACTCGTAACACTTGGTATTCAGAGCCTACGATCTCTTCTCGGACCGCACCCACACGTTCGCTTCCCCACTATCTCAATTTTTTGGGGGGGGTAGACGTCTCTCAGCGATACAGCACCGC